GGCCCCCTGTCAACTTCTTCTCTCCATAGCAGCCAGGGCAATCTCATCAAACAATAGCAACAACAATATAATAAATGATAACAGCACACAGGTGGTGCTTACTATGTGCTACATAAAAATGGTATTATTGCTAGCCTTCATTTAAAGATGTGGAAACTGAGGCACAGAGAGGTTAAGTAACAACCCAAGGTCACACAGCCAGGAAGTAGCAGAGCTGGAATTACATATCCAACCATGCCAATCTCCTGCTAAAACCCTTCCCAGGATCCTACTGCCTTCAGAAACTAGGACCACACTCCATACTGTGGCCTTCAAAGTCCCACAGGACCTGACACCATAAATCCCACTCAGTCACTCCATGCCAGCCACACTGGCTTTAGTTCCTCCAGCCACAAGGACTTTACACATGCTGTTCCCTCTGTTGGGGAGACACTCCCTGCCCCCTTCTTCTCTCCCTTACTGCCCACTATTGAACCCCTACTCCTCATCATATTACAGCTCTGTTACCACTCACGAAAAACCTTCCTCTCCTCCTTAGGCTGGATGGCAGTGGAGGTTCAGTGGTGGAATTCTTGCCTCCCATGCAGGAGACCCAGCTTCGATTCCACCAACCACCTGTCAGGGGAGGCTTGCGTGCTGTTACGATGCTGAACAGGTTTCAGTGGAGCTTCCAGACTAAGATAGACTAAGAACAAAGGCCTGGCAAGCGACTTCCGAAAATCAGCCAATGAAAACCCTATGGATCACAACAGTCCAATCCGCAATCTATCATGGGGATGGCGCAGGACCAGGCACCACTTTGTTCCGTTGTGCATGGGGTCGCCAGGAGTCGGGGGCCGACTCTATGGCAGCTAACAACAAGTAGATTAACCTGGGGCACAGAAAAGGGTAGTTCGAGCCCCTTGGACAGAGTTTTGGTGCATCGTAAGAAAGACAGAGGAATTATTCTGCTGCTCATATCCTCACATTTGCTCAGCTGCAGGGCCCCTGCAAACCAAAGCAGGGGCTCCTGCTTCATGGCTAGTCTGGTTCTGCACTGTTGCCTTATAGCATGCACAACAATACTCCCTAGGCTGAGCAGGGCCACCCCGTGTGGTTGGGCACGTTGTGTACTGCACAAGGGTGCCACATCTAAGGGGCAGCATCCACATTGTAGATGCCATAGGCCTGTGTAGTCACCTTTCAGACAGAAATAAAGGGTCTAGGGTAATGTTGCCCAATAGAACTTCCTGTGATGATGGAAATGTTCTATATCTGCACTGTCCAATATAAGAGCCACTGGCCACATGTGGCTACTGATCATGTGAAGTGTGGTGAGTGTGTACGAGGAACAGACTTCTATTTATTTTCTTTTTTTCTTCTCATTATACTTTAGAAGGTTTACAGAGCAAATTAGTTTCTCATTAAACAATTAATACACATATTGTTTTGTGACATTGGTTGCCAACCCCATGACATGTCAACGTTCTCCCCTTCTTGACCTTGGGCTCCCTATTACCAGCTTTCCTGTCTCCTCCTGCCTTCTCGTCCTTGTCCCTGGGTTAGTGTGCCCATTTAGTCTCGTTTTGTTGTATGGGCCTGTCTAATCTTTGACTGAAGGATGAACCTCAGGGGTGACTTCAGTACTGAGTTAAAAGGGTGTCCGGGGGCCATACTCTTTGGTTTTCTCCAGTCTCTGTCAGGCCAGTAAGTCTGGTCTTTTTTTGGGAGTTAGAATTTTGTTCTACATTTTTCTCCAGCTCTGTTCCAGGACCCTCTATTGTGATCCCTGTCAGAGCAGTCGGTGGTGGTCGCTGGGCACCATCTAGTTGTACTGGACTCAGTCTGGTGGAAGCTCTGGTAGTTGTGGTCCATTAGTAGGAACAGCACTGTTAATTTTATTTAATTTTAATTGTTTTAAATTTAAATAGCCACATGTGGCTAGTGGCTACTGTACTGGACAGTGTGGGGCTAGAGAAAGGGGTGCCTTTTTCCAATTTTCACGCAGAGCCAATACAGAAAACGAGGTCAGCTTTGTTATAAGCTCACACAGAGCCATGTCCATTGCTGCCAGCACATCTGAACTTAACCATGCATTGGAGATGCTGCCGTCCCCACTATGTGAATTCAGCCCGCCTGAGGGCAGGGTGCAGCCTGGTTTTGCACCTCAGGGAAGCCCCAGCACTGGGCACGGTACCTTGCACAAACATCTACAGAACAAAAAACAAAAACCTCAAACCCATTGCCATTCAGTCAATTCTGACTCATGGTGACCTCATGCGTTACAGAGTAGAACTGCTCCATAGGGGTTTCTGGGCTGTAAATTTTACAGAAGCAGATCGCCAGGCCTTTCTTCTACGGCACTGCTGGGTGGGTTTGAACTGCCAACCTTTCAGTTTATAGCCGAAAGCACAGCATTTGCGCCGCCCAGGGACTTTGCTGAAAGAAGGGAGACTTGAATTCAGTCTTCGTGGTGACCTGACTTCAGGTGCAAAAGGCTCACTTACTCATAAACCAAAAAAACCCAAACCCATCGCCTATTCAGTCAATTTCGACCATAGCGACCCTATAGGACAGAATAGAACTGCCCTATGTTTCCAAGGCTGTAATCTTTACAGAAGCAGACTGCCACATCTTTCTCCCACAGAGCGGCTGGTGGGTTCAAACTGCTGACCTCTGTTAGCAGCCGAGTGCTTAACCACTGCACCACCAGGTAGCTCAAATTCCTGCGCCCGAAACTGAGCTCTCAGTCTTCGCCACAGGTCTACCCCCTCCCTCCCAATGCTGTCTTCCACATCTCTGTAAGTGGCCACTCCACCCTTCCGGAAGCTCAGGCCCAGACCCCCAGAGGCATCCCCTGACTCCTCTCCTTCTCCCACTGCCCCCGTCCCACATCCAGTACATCTGCAAACGCCTCCAACTCCCAACCATAACCAGTGTCCAACCACTTTTCACCACTTCCATTACTATTACTGGAGTCCCTGTACTACTAGTCATCCCTCAACTACCAGCCAAAAGGTTGGCAGTTTGAACCCACCCAGAGATGCTCTGAAGACAGGCCTGGCGATCTGCTTCTGGAAAGTCACAGCCTTGAAAACCCCATGGAGCAGTTCTACTCTGCACACATGGGGTCGCCATGAGTCAGAATCGACTCGACGGCAACTAACGACTACTATAACTCTCGTCAGAGTTTTCATTATTTCTCACCTAAAAAAACATAGTAGCCTCCTAAACAGGTCTCTCTGCTTCCCCTGCCTCTAACAGGCTGTTCCCCACATGGCAGCTAGAAGGATCCTGTTAACACCTAAGTCAGCTCACATCCCTCCTCTACTCAGAACCCTCCCCTGGTTCCCACCTCCCTCAGAGTTGAAGCAAAGTCCTCACTGTGGCCCACAAGGCCCTGCACAGTCTGGGCCCTCTCCCCTCATCTCCTGCCCTCTCCCCCTCGCTTACTCCCCTCCAGCCACACTGTTCCCCTCCCTGTTCCTCTAATACTCTATGCAGTCCTGCCTCAGGGCCTTTGCACATGCTGTTCCCTCTGCCTAGAATGTACTTCCCTATATATCCATTAGGTTCATTCCCTCACCTCCTTCAGGGCTTATGCTGGATGCACAGGTGAGCTATATTATAACTGCCCCTTCACCAACTCCCTAGCTGCTAATGGACACAAAGTAAAATATGTGCTTTAGTGGGCGATGACTGCCCTTTGAAGAAACCCAGAACTCTGCTAAACTATCTTAGTAGGGTAAAGGAGGAAGGGCTGTTCTCTGGTGCCAGTAAATCTAGAACAGCCTGAACAGGGGCAATAAGTGATATCCATTGCCTACAGGGGGCCTTCCACTTTTATTACTACCTTTAACCTTTTACTACCCCCTTTTATTGTCCCTTACCCTAACTATTCTCTGGACATGCTGTTTGGCACATAGACAATGCTGTCCGATTAGTATTTAATCCTAGGAGAGAGGAATTAAGTGTTCTCCTCCCAAGATGTGAACTGGGGCATGCTTGGATGTGACCTAACCCTGTGGAGCAGGGCCTAACTTTGGGGAACCTAGGCTGATGATGATGTACGCTGTTCTACTCATCCCTGTCCTGTTTATTCTGTGAGTAATAAACGCCTGCTAATCATGGCATCAGAAGTGTCTGGTCTGTGCTCTGCTCCAAACAGTCCTTCTCAGAGGACTTGTGAATATAGCAAGACTGCATCTTACTTCACATATCACCTCCTCAGGGAGGCCTTCCCTGACCACCCTGTCAAAATAAGGCTCCCGTCTCATCCCTCTCTATCCTCGGCTTCGCTTTATCGTTCTCCATAGTGTTTACTACTAGCAGGCATCATATTTTATATTTATTTTTTCCTTGTCTCTGCAACAGGAGCTCTGGTGGCACCGTGGTTAAGCACTAGGCTGCTAACTGAAAGGTCAGCAGTTGCAATCCACCAGCTGCTCCATGGAAGAAAGATGTGGCAGTCTGCTTCTATAAAGATTACAGCCTTGGCAAGTAGATACATGAGACTAAATGGGCAGCTCCTGTCCAGAGGCAAGATGAGAAGGCAGAGGGTCAGGAGCTGGTCGAATGGACACGGGTAATCCGAGGTGGAAAGGAGTGTGCTGTCACAGTATAGGGAGAGCAACTAGGGTCACATAACAATGTATGTATAAATTTTTGTATGAGAGATTAACTTGAAGTGTAAACTTTCACTTAAAGCAAAATAAAAAGAAAATTTAATGATCAGAAAACAAAACAAAAAGATTACAGCCTTGGAAACCCTATGAGGTAGTTCTACTCTGCCCTATAGGGTCACTATAAGTCAGAATCAACTCGATGGCAATGGGTTTGGTTTTGGGTTTGGTCTCCCCAGTTGGGATGTCAGCTCCATGAGAGCATGGCTTCATCTGCCCTGCTCACTTCTGAGGATGCTTAGGGCAGGGCCGGGCTCCAAGCAGGTGCCCAGTGAATAGCTGCTGAATAAACAAAGAGAAAACAAGCACAACAGGGCTGGAGGGGCCTCTCGTCCTCACCTGCAGCCGGTCCAGGATTTCGTGGTAGTGGAACAAAGTGCAGAACTCCACGTGGGCCAAGAACTCCTCCAAAGCTGCCTTCTCCGTCGGACTGGAGTGGAATTCCTGTTACCTCAGGAGGCAAGACTTTTCTTTAGGCCTCTTTCCCCTTCCCCCTCCTTTGTCCCAGAGCAGGGGTCAGGGGAAAGGGGACAAAGAGGAATTCTTTCTCTTGCGACCTATATATACTATCAGAGCCCTGATTTTTTCATTTTGTTTTGTTCTGAGTAGAGACAGTGCACCCATTTTATTGACCAAGAAACTGAGGCAGCCTGGTATAGTGAAAAACAGATGGCTTAAAGAGCTAGAGGTTCAAGTCTCTGCTTTGACATTTATTTGTTGTTATGGATTGAATTGTGCCCCCTTCCCAAAAAAAAGGATATGCTGAAGTCCTAACGTGTAACTGTGAAATGTGACCTTGTTTGGAAATAGGGTCTTTGAAGATGTTACCATGAGGTCATACTGGAGTAGGGTGGGTCCTAATCAATTATCAGCAGTGTCCTTAGAAAAGAGAAGAGGCACAGAGGGAAGACAGAGAGAAAAGAGAAGAGGTACAGAGGGAAGACAGAGAGAAAAGAGAAGAGGCACAGAGGGAAGACAGAGAGAAAAGAGAAGAGGCACAGAGGGAAGACAGAGGCAGAGATCACAGTGATGTATCTACAAGCCAAGGAACGTCAGGATTGCCAACCGCCACCAAAAGCTAGGAGATGCCTGGAGAAGAATCTCCCTCAGAGCCCTCAGAAGGAATCAACACGGCTGACAAGCTGATTTCAGACTTCTCCTCCAGAACTGTGAGACAATAAATTTGTGTTGTTTTAAGCCACCCAGTTTGTGGTATTTTTGTTACAGCAGCCCTGGGAAACTAGCACACTTGCCAACACTCACACGAAGCTTACTGTGAGCCAGGTACTGTTTTCTGGCATATCTTCCTCCAGAGGATTATTCAAGGAGGTTGATGGAATCAGAACCCCCATTTTTCAGATGGGAAAACCGAGGATCAGGGAAGTCACTTGCCAAGGTCTGCTATGACTCCAGAGCACACATTTAGCCACTTCTTTATGCTTCCTTTCTCAGTGCCCTGTGTGAATGGCTTCACCTCCTTGAGCCTCAGTTTCCTCATCTGCAAAAGAGGATCATAACATCTTTCTCCGAAGGCTGCTGTGAGTATTTGATGAGATTGTGTGTCCATATTTTATGTGTGTGTGTGTATGTATATATTTATGTGTATGTATATGTGTGTGAAGGAGCCCTGGTTCAAACCCACCAGTCACTCCACGGTCAAAAGATGTGGCAGTCAGCTTCCATAAAGATCACAGCCTTGGAAACCCTGTGGGGCAGTTGTACTCTGTCCTGTAGGTTTGCTATGAGTCGAAATTACTGGATGGCAATGGGTTTTTTATATTTGTGTGTGTAATGAGCCCTGGTGGCACAATGGTTAAGTGCTCGACTGCCAACTGAAAGGTCAGCAGTTCAAACCCACCTACTGCTCCATGGGAGAAAAAAACCTGGCAATCTGCTCCCATAAATATTATAGCCTAGAAAACTTTATGGGGCGGTTCTACTCTATCACATGGGGTAGCTATAAGTCAGAATCGACTTGATGGCACAGAAAAATAACGTGTGTGTGTGGGAGCTCCTGGGTGGAGCCAACAGTTAAGCACTCAACTCCTAGCCAAAAGGTTGCTGGTTCGAACCTACCCAGAGGTGCCGCAGAAGACAGAACTGGCAATCTGCTTCCAAAAGGTCACAGCCTTGAAAACCCTACGGAGCAGTTCTATTCTGTGCACATGTCGCCATGAGTCAGAATTGAATGATGGCAACTAGCAACAAATGTGTGTGTAAAGTCTAGCCTAGGACTTAACACAAACAGCAAGTGTTCAATAAATAATTGTTAAATGAATGAACAATAATGCTCAGTATTGACAGGTAGGAAGATAACGGTGGGGTTAAGAACTCAAGCTCTGGAAGGGGATCAGTATTAGCGGGAGATGAATGAGGCACCTAGGGTACACTCTTGTTGTTGTTGGGTGCTGTCAATTCCCACTCATAGCAATCCCGTGTGTCAGAGCAGAACTGCCCTATAGGGTTTTTCCTAGGCTGTATAATCTTTTTTATTTTTATTTTATTGTTGTAGTTTAAATGAAGTTTACATTTCAAGTTAGTCTCCCGTACAAAAATTTATACATACATTGTTATGTGACCCTAATTGTTCTCCCTTTACTGTGACAGCACAGTCCTCCTTCCCACCCCTGATTCCCCATGTCCATTCAGCCAGCCCCTAACCCTCTCTGCCTTCCCATCTCACCTCCGGACAGAAGCTGCCCATTTAGTCTCTTGTATCTACTTGAGCTAAGAGGCACACTCCTCATGAGTATCACTTTAGGTCCCAATGTCCAGTCCAATCCCTGTCTGAAGAGTTGGCCTCGGAAATTGTTTTAGTTTTGGGCTGATAGAGAAGCCAGGGGCCATGCCTTCCGGGGTTCCTCCAGTCTCAGTCAGACCATTAAGTCTGGTCTTCTTAGTAGAATTTGAGTTCTGCACCCCACCTTTGCCCTGCTCCATCAGGGACTCTCTGTTGTGTTCCCTGTCAGGTCATTGGTGGTAGCTGGGCATCATCTAGTTCTTCTGGTCTCAGGCTGATGAAGTCTCTGGTTTATGTGGCCCTTTCTGTCTCCTGGGCTAATACTTTCCTTGTGTCTTTGGTGTTCTTCATTCTCCTTTACTCCACGTGGTTTGGACCAACTGATGCATCTTAGATGGCCACTTGCAAGCTTTTAAGACCCCAGACACCACTCACTGAAGTAGGATGCAGAACATTTTCTTAATAAGCTTTGTTATGCCAGTTGACCTAGATGTACCCTGAAAGCATGGTTCCCAGTTCCCTACCCCTACTATTCTGTCCCTCAAAGTGTTTGACTGTATTCAGGAAACTTCTTAGCTTTGGTTTACTCTGGTTGTGCTGACTTCCCCTGTAGTGTGTGCTGTCCTTCCCTTCACCTAAGATAATTCTTATCTACTATCTAGTTAGTGAATAAACCTCTCCCTCCCTCCCCAACCTGGTAACCATCAAAGAATGTTTTCTTCTGTGTTTAAACCTTTTCTTGAGTTCTTATAATAGTGGTCTTATACAATATTTATTCTTCTGTGACTGACCGTCCAGGCTGTATAATCTTTATGCAAGCAGATTGCCCATCTTTTTTCCACAGAGCCACTGGGTGGGTTCAAACTGCCAACCTTTCAGTTAGCAGCCGAGTGCTTAACCATTGCACCACCAGAGTTCTCATGCAACCACTCTTAAGATAATGCAAGTGCTTCACACACCTCACAATAGTCCTGGCCCTGTTGTGGAATTAGACAACTTCAGTTTACATCTGGCCATTATGTGGCCTTGGGCAAGTCATTTTTCTTCTATGTGCTTCAGTTAGCTCATCTATAAAATAAGGATGATGGTGGTATCTCTCACTATGTTGTCCTGATGATTCAATAATACACGCAAAATACTTAGCACAGTGCCTACTATATGCTCAAACAGAATGAAAATAATTGTGATTATAGCTTTGTAACTTTGTGGGTATATTATGTCATGTCATGTCATGCCATGTCATATCATATCACATCATATCATATTTCTTGGAAGAAGTACAGCCAGAATGCTCCTTAGAAGCAAGTATGGCGAGACTTCATCTCATGTACTTTCTTCTTTTTTTTTTTCATACTTTGGACATGTTATCAGGAGGGACCAGTCCCTGGAGAAGGACCTCGTGCTTGGTAAAGTAGAGGGTCAGAAGGAAAGAGGAAGACCCTCAACAAGATGGACTGACACAGTGGCTGCAACAATGGGCTCGAGCATAACAATTGTGAGGATGGCACAGGAGGAGGCAGTGTTTCATTCTGTTGTACACAGGTTCGCTGTAAGTCGGAACTGACTTGACAGCACCTAACAACAATATATTAAATTATATTACATTATGCTATGCTATACTATATTATAAATTATATTATATTATACTACACTATATTATATATTATGAATTACATTATATTATAAGCTGTGGTGAGCTACGGCTGCTAACCAAAAGATCGGCAGTTGGAATCCACCAGCCCCTCCTTGGAAACCGTATGGGGCAGTTCAGCTGTGTCCTATTGGGTTTGCGATGACTTGGAATCGACTCGCTGGCAACGGGTTTGGTTTTAGGGTTTATACCGTATTAGAACATTGGTGGTGCAGTGGTTAAGAGCTTGACTGCTAACCGAAAGGTCAGTAGTTTGAATCCACCAGCAGCTCCTCGGAAATCATGGGGCAGTTCTACTCTGTCCTATAAGGTCGCTACGAGTCGGAATCGACTGGATGGCAACAGGTTTGGGTTTTTTTTTAAATATAAATGCTATATCATAGATTATAAATTATATTATAGTATTAAATAGTAGCAATAATAATGAGGATGACTATTATACCCATTTTGCAGAAGGTAAAACCATGGCCCCAAAATTGACTTGTCCAACCTCCCAGAACAAGCCAGGTCCAAACTTCAGTCCCGCATCTGCATATGGAAGGTCTTCCCCCTTCATTCCAACTCATCTCACTCCCACCTGGGACGATGACGGGACCTGAGACTAAAACTCCCAGGAGGCACCGGGACAGTCTTCCATAGCACGGAAGGCCCTCCTGCCGCGAAGCCTGGTGGGAGTCGTAGTCCCCAGGGTCTGGGACCTGGGACGGTCGGTACCTGTATCAGAAGGCGGAGCAGCTGCTGCTTAGAGAACGGGATGAAGTGCTCGCGGTACTGCTGAGCCCAGTTGCGGGGCTCCTTAGGGTTCCACATTTTGCGGTACTCCCCCATCTTGGCCGCCAGCGATGACAGGGCCCGGGGAGGCCCGAGGAAAGCGGGCAAGACCCGGACCTTGGACCCCCAGACCCCCCGGGCCACATGCAGCATAGCCAGACCCTTTCTCTGGAACCTAAACGAGAGGAATGGGCAGGGATCAAAGGTCATCTGGAGGAAAGGGGCTCCCTCACCTCCATGTCTCCGCCTCAAAGGGCTCAGAGTCCATCCACCCGCCTCGTAGCCCCTCTAGCGTGTCCCCTCCCATACTGCTCAGCTGGCCTGCATCCCAGTCAGGGGTCATAGGTAACTAGGTTCAGGGGCGTTTTGCGGACTGAGAGACCTGGTAGGGATACAACTGTTTTCTGCAGGGTCTAGGCGGCGAGGCGAATCTTGGAAGCATAGGAGATGCTCGGCAAGACTACATCGGGGGTGCAGGGCCGCCCTCCCCGGCCATGCAATCCCCCACCCTCCCCCTCACCTTAGCCAACGAGCGACTGTCATTGAGCCTCCTGCGCATGTGCACAACGGCGTCCTTGTCCCCCAAGGTTCGGCTTCAGACGGCAGTAAACGCATGCGCCAATCGTGGGTCACTGTGAGCTGGCCATATGCAACGCCCTATCTCAAGTGCGCGTGCGTTATGTGCCTGTCTTTCTCCACTTCTGCTAGCTTTTGGACGCGGCGCATGCCCTGCAGCAGTGTCTCCTCGTCCGCGTGCTTCAAAGGGAAAGGGGCGGGGCAGGCAGGGGACACCCGGGAGGGAGGGGTGGGGCAGGGTTCCCGCGCGCCGCCGGCCAACGGCGAGTGCCCAACGACCACTGAAGCCACGCCCCCTCACTGTCAGCGCCTGAGTAGGCGGGAAAATAGAGGGGGCGGGACTTGGGCGCAGCCAATCAGCTCTAGAGAAACGAAAAGGCGGGAAAAAGCGGAACCAAAAGAAGGTTGAGGTGGCGCCAGGGACCAGGAGGGGGGAGGACTGGCAGAGGAAGGGCGGACTTCCGGGTGACGCAGACAGGTCCTCCAGAGTAGGGGTGAACCTTTGTAGGGGAGTGTCACCGCAAACCCCATCACCCCCATTTCGCGTCCTTAAAGGGAAGACCCCGATTCTAAGAAGGTAGCCTTGTGCCAAGGGTATGTCCTCCTCATTCTGAGGGGACAGCCCAGTTCTGAAGCCATGTTCCCCACAAATCTAAGGTCCAGACGCCTAACCTGAGGAAGTGCACTTATATGAAGATAGAGCTGAATCCTCAGGGGAGACCATTATTCTAGGGAAATAACCCCAAATCACAAGGACACCCTAAAATATACCCTCAGATGCCTGGGTTTTCCATTATAGATGCTGTCACCCCAAAAGCTGAAAGGGATTCCTCTGGTTCAGACCTCTCAAGGATTCTGACCTCCATGCTAGCACCCCTCACTCCCCAGAAATTCCCACCTGGATCCTCTCACAGACAGGCCCTCTGGCTCCTGTGTGAAGGGGCTATGGCCCCCAAATATTCCAGGCCTCTCCCCACCTCCTCTCCCTGGTTCCCCTCACCCTGAACCTCCACCTCCGGGACCCCCAGCAGTCCCTTCACTGCACACCCAGGCTCCTAAGACCCCTGGCAGTGCCCTCATCCCACGCCCCCCACTTCTGGGACCCCCAGCAGCCCTCTCACCCTGCGCCCTGACTCTAAGACTCCTGGCAGCCCCTTCACCCCCACCCCTATTTTGGTACTCCTCAGCAGCCTCCTCACCCCATGCCTCCCATTCCTGGTACTCCCAGCAGTCCCCTCAGCCTGCACCCCACCTCTGGAATCCTCAGTAGCCTTCCTACCCTGCTCATGGGACCCCCAACAGCTTCCTTACCCTCATCCTGACTCCTAAAACCTCTGGCAGCCCTTTTGCCCCAAACTTCCCCACTCCTGGGGTCCCCGGCATCCCCCTCACCCATGCCCCGACTCTAACATACCACCACTCTCTCTTATCTTGCAGCCACCGTGCCCCAGAGGGGCCTGGACCATCTGGACAGTCCAGCAGGCAGTGTGCAGCATCCTTGCCCCTGTCTCCCTGGGCTCCGGAAGGAGAGCAGCCGCCATGCATGTCCCTGAAAGCCTCCAGGACCTGGCTGACAGTGAGGCCGTTCAGTTTCTGAAGAGGCCAAAGACCATGGGGCGGATCTTCTCAGGGGTGAGGCCCTCCTGGGGCCTGACTGCCCCACTGGGTGACAGGAAATACAAGTTCTCAAGTGTCAAACACAGTGTGGGAAGGAGTTGAGGGAAGGGAGAGGTCAGACAGGGAGACAAAACCAAAGGGAGGTAGTAACTGAGCCACCTTTTACTGCGTACCTATCCTAGGCCCTGAGCTATTCTGTGGTTGTTATTAGGAGCCCTTGAGTTGACTCCAACTCATGGCAACCCCATGCATGCAGAGTAGAACTGCCCCAGAGGGCTTTCAAGGCTGTGACCTTTCAGAAGTAGGTCTCCAGGCCTGTCTTCCAAGGCGCCTCTGGGTGGGTTCGAACTGCCAACCTTTCAGCTAGTAGTCCAGCACTTAACCGTTTGAGTTGCCCAGAGATTCCTTGCTATTCTAAGCACTTGTTATTAACTCTAATCACAACGAACAACCCTCTAGATTAGGTGCTATGAGCTCCATTTTTGAGATGAGAAAACTGAAACTCAGAGAACTTAAATAATTTTTTTAAGGCAGCGTTTTTCAATGGGGTAGCCACAAGCTGCATGTGGCTGTTTATATATATTTCAATGAAAACTAAAAAATTCAGTTTCTCAGTCACACTGACCACATGTCAGGTGCTCAAGAGCCACCTGTGGCTGGTGACTCTCATATTGGACAGTGCAGATCTAGAACATTCCCATCATCGCAGAAAGTGCTATTGGACAGCAGTGAGTAAGGACACAGTAAGAGGCAGAGCTGGAATTCACACTCAGGTCTGTGAGATGCCAGAGCCCTCTCATGTTCCACCTCTCTGACAAGGATGTAGGAGGAGAGGAGCATGGGCTGGGGCCTCTAGGAAGAAGCCCAGGTGGAAAAGAATATGGAATGAACACCTGAGATACCACATGGTGAGTGCTCACAGTGTCCTGGCCCTGGGTCTAAGGGCTTTTCATGCATTCATTTATAATCCTTAGCACATTCCTGAGGAGCCCTGGTGGCATAATGGTTAAGTGCTTGGTTGCTAACAGAAAGGTTGGCGGTTTGAATCCATCCAGCGGCTCTGCGGGAGAAAAGACCTGACAATCTGCTCCTGTAAAGATTACAGCCTAGGAAACTTTATGGGGCAGTTCTACTCCGTCACATGGGATCACTATGAGTCGGAATTGACTCTACGGCACCCAACAACAACAACACAATCCTGAAGAGTCAAGATCTGCAAGTTCTAGTTGCCATTGAGTCGACTTCAACTCATGGCAACCTCATGAGGGTCAAAGTAGAACTGTGCTCTGTAGGGTTTTCAATGGCTGACTTCTTGGAAATAACTTGTCAAGGCTTTCTTCTGAGGTGCCTCTGGGTGGATAAGAACAACCGACCTGTCAGGTAGCAGCCGAGCACGTTAACCCTTTGCACCACCCAAACCAAACCAAAACCTGTTGCCATCAAGTCAATTCCTACTAATAGCAACCTTATAGGCCAAAGTAGAACTGCCTCTTAGGGTTTCCAAGGCTGTAATCTTTATGGAAGCAGATTGCCAGGTCTTTCTCCTGCAGAGCAGATAACTGGTTTGAACTACAGATCTTTTGGTTAACAGCTGGGTGCTTAACCACTGTGCTACGAGGGCTCCTTTTGCACCGCCCAGGGACTCCGAAACATCTGAGGTCAAATCCTCACTCAGCCCAAACTTCGCTGTGTGATCTTGGGCCGACTGCTGCTCCTCTCTGGGCCTCAGTGCACGAGCAGGTAGAGCGGTGGCTCTGAGCGTTATAAGCTATGCCACCTCCTTTGACAGAATTGGAAACTGAGGCCCAGGAAGATGAGGGGACTCAGTCAAGGCCGTGGGGGGTAGGTGGGGTACCCTGAATCAAACCCAGGGTCTCTCCTCCCTCCTCCTTCTGAAACCTGAATCCTGGCCACATGTTGTCCATATGGGGTGCCATACTCTCTGGTTTCCCCGGGGTCATTCCTGGCATAATTATCAGTAGTGCCACCTTTTCATTCTCAAAAGTGCCCCAGTTTGTCCAATAGCTCACATGGTCACCCCATGTCTGTGTGAAGGAGCCCTAGTGGCGAAACAGATAAGTGCTGGGCTGCTAACCGAAAGGTGAACAGTTCAAACCCACCCAGCGGCTCTACAGGAGAAAGACCTGGTGATCTGTTCCCATAAAGATTACAGCCTAGAAAACCCTATGGGGCAGTTCTACTCTGTCACGTGGAGTCACTATGAGTCAAAAGTCGACTCCACGGCACCCAACAAGACAGGGTGATGGGAACTTGGATCCACTGTCGTCTCCACCCAGGGAAGAGGGGAATTATGAATATCGCCTTCCAGCTCCGGGTTCCTTACTGGTGTTATTTCCTCTACTCCTCACTACCCTATGACCTGGGCAGTATTACCCTGGTTTGACCCAAGGAAGGAGCCCTGGTGGCACAGTGTTTAAGCGCTCAGCTACTAAGGTTGGCAGTTCGAACCCACCAGCCGCTCTGCTGATGTGGCAGTCTGCTTCTGTAAAAATGACAGCCTAGGAAACCCTATGGGGCAGTTCTACTCTGTTCCTATAGGGTCGCTATGAGTCAGGATTGACACGACAACGGGCTTGGTTTTAACCCGAGGAAAAACAGGTCCACAGAGGTGGAGTGACTTGCCCAAGGACGCTCACCAAGCTGGTGAGCAAGTCCAGCTAGGATCCACCCACCCGTCTCCACAGCCTGGAAAGGCAGGGCGGGTAGTGAGGAAGAAAGAGACCCAGCTGGTTGGGACAGGCTGGTGGTGGGGGAGTGAGGGGAGGGAAGGGCCAAGAGATTGTGCCAGACGTTTTGGTCACGGGCTTTGCCCGCCGCCTCCATCTTCCCCTCCCTCTGCCCTCACTGCCTTCCCCCCTGGCCCGGCCCCTCGGCAGGGAGTCTGTGGGCAGCTGGTGCTCTTGTTCTTCTGGCTGCCGCTTGCCAGCTGGTGCTTTAACTGATGAATCTTCACTCCCTCCCTGGGGACAGGCCAGGGAGGGCGTGGAAGGAGGCTGGACCGGAGGGGGCGGGAGGGAGAACTCCGACTCCAGGGCGTGAGGTCCCTCTGGCCCAGCTGAGCCCCTTGCCCATGTGCTCTGGGCTTGAGATGCAGCCCAAGGTTTCTGGGGTCAGTGGAAAGACAGTCCAGGGCATGGACGTCAGGAGGGTGGACTCCAATCCCCCCTCCACCACCGCTGACCTTGAGAGGACATGTCCCCTCTCTGGCGAGTCACCCGTATCAGCTGATGTCCGGTCGATTCTGACTCATAATGACCCTAAAGGACAGAGTAGAACTGCCCTCATAGAATTTCCAAGGCTGTAATCTTTATGGGAGCTGAATGCCACATCTTTCTCCCGCAGAGTGGGTGGTGGGTTCAAACTGCCGACCTCTCAGTTAGCAGCCAAGTGCTTAACTACTGCGCCATCAGAGCCCCCTAGGTGAGTCACCAGAACTGCCCTTTTCATCAGCAGCTACTAGTGCTAAGTCCCTGCTCCCTCCATGCCGCCTCTGCCCGGAGCACAAGGACAGACTGGGAAACTGAGGCTCCAAGAGGTGCAGGCTTGGCCCGAGGCCACACAGCTGGTACGTGGCAGAAATCAAGCACACCTGGCTCTTTCCACTGCACCATAATGGCTTCGATTTATTACCTGTGAAACAGAAAAGAATATAAGCCACCACAAGGGGTTGGCACCAGGTGCCAAGGAGGTAGAAGGTAAAATGGATGTGGGCTCACAGTTGATCCATATGCTCACCCGCCCTAGACTTGGCTCTGCATCTGACTAGCAGGCAAGGCACTTGTCTTCCATGGACTCAGTTCTCAGCTCCAGAACAGCTAGAAGAATCCCTGCAGCCTCCCAGGATCCAATGAGATCACGGATGTGTATTACTTTAGCTAATGTGCCTACGTGTTTTTACATCTTCTATTTTCATTATTTAGTTTTAATTATTGTGACATTTTCATTAAGGAGCCCTGGTGGTGCAACAGTTAAGCACTTGGCTGCTAACTAAAAGGTCAGCGTTTTGAACCCATCCAGTGGCTCCTCAGGAGAAGGACCTGGCAGTCTGCCCCCACAAAGATTTAAAAACCAAAAAACATGCCCATTGTCGTGGAGTCAATTCCAAGTCACAGCAACCCTATAGCAACCCTGTAGGACAGAGCAGAACTGCCCCCATAGAGTTCCCCAGGCTGTACTCATTATGGAAACAGACTGTGACCTTTTGGAAGCAGATCACCAGGCATTTCTTCCAAGGTGCCTTTGGGTGGGTTCGAACCACCAATTTTTTGGCTAGTAGTCGAGCACCTAACCATTTGTTCCATCCAGGGAGTCCTTCCTTTGGTTAATGTTGAAGTGCTTGATATTGTTGAGAAAGGAAATTAAGGCAAAGGTTAGAGGAAAATGGACAGAGACTGAAGAGTTTAGGAGTTAGACATCTGCCTCCCTCGTCTCCACTCTGAAGGGCAGGACAAGAACAAAGAAGAAAGGGCCAAAGTCATTCATTCTCTCGACACACACGTGTGACATCTGGTCAGGTCCTGGGTGCTGGGGGCAAAGAGAAGGATACCATGGGGACCCTGTCCCAAGAAGTTCAAATTTTAACAAAGGGGCAATTTTCAACACTGCTTTTCCCTCACCCCAACACCACCACGCCCAATCAATCACTAAGTCCAATTTTACGTTCTAAATATCACTGGCCTCCTCAGGGCTCCAGCTTCAGCCTTTCTCGGCTGGATCCTTCCACTGACTCCTCCCAGGCCTGTCGGCCTCTTGTCTTGTCCTGCTCCAATCCCCCAGCCATGAAGACCTAGAGTATTTCTTTCACCCCCAGGTCTAACCCCTGGCCCTCCCCTGTTTGAATCCCTTCCATGCATAAAATCACACTGAAATAAGAAATGTCACTTGCCATGGCTCCTGGGTCCCGAATCCTTGGCCTGGTGCTCAAGACCTCTGTGGTCTTGCTCCTGCCCATTTTTGCAGCTTCATCTCACACCGGACCCCTCAGATGGAATTTCTCCCCAATCCACAAAGCCCCACTCAGCAGCAGCTGGGCTTTGCACATGCTGTTCGCCCTGCCTGGAATGCCCTTTGCCTTCCTGTCAGCGGAAAGATGCCTCATTCTTTAAGGGCCAGTTCAAATGTTCCCTTAACCAGTTGCGGTCAAGTTGATTCCTATTCATGTGTGTCAGAGTAGAACTGTGCTCCACAGGGTTTTCAATGGCTGATTTTTCAGAAGTATATCTCCAGGCCTTTCTTCAGAAGTGCCTCTGGGTTGACTTGAACCACCCACCTTTCAGTTAGCAGCCAAATGCATTAACCATTTGCATCATCCAGGCAATAAATGTCCCCTTTGTTATTGCTAGTTCTGACTCATAGCAACCCCACGAGTTACAGAGTAGAATGGCTCCATAGGGTTTTCATGGCTGTAATCTTAACTGAAGCAGATCGACAGGCCTTTTCTTTCACAGCACTGCTGGATGGATTCAAACCACCAACTGTTAGGTTAGTTTTTGTTGTTAGGTGCCATCTAGTTGATTCCGACTCATAGTGACCCCATATGACAGAGTAGAATGCCCCATAGGGTTTCCTAGGCTGTAATCTTTATGGGAGCAGATCGCCAGGTCTTTCTCCCAGGGAGGCGCTGGGTGGGTTCGTAGTGCCAACCTTTCAGTTAGCAGCTGAGCACTTAACTGTTTGTGCCACCAGGCCTCCTTTTTATTTTTTTAATTTTATTGTGCTTTAGGTGAAAGTTTACAGCTCAAGTTAATTTCTCATTCAAAAATTTATACACATATTGTTTTGGGATACTGGTGGCAATCAGTGCTCCTTTTTAGGTCAGCAATCGTGTGCAAACCATTTCTGCCACCTAACAACATTAATGTCCCCGTACCAGAAAACCAAAATCAAACCCATTGCCGTCAAGTCGATTCCAACTCATAGCAATCCTGTAGGACAGAGTAGAACTGCCCCATATGGTTTCCAAGGAGCAGGTGGTAGATTAGAACTGCCGACCTTCTGGTTAGCAGACAAATGCTTAACCACTGTGCCACCAGGGCTGCAATATCCCCTTATTACCTTCTAAATGCAGCCCCATGACCTCAGTTCCCGCTCAGATCTTAACCTCGCCCACCCTAGGCCGCAGCCTTTAGTTTCGCCCCCTCCAACCCATCTCTGTAGGGCCCTAGAGGGGGCTTTCTACACCCACAGCTGACCCCATGCCTTCCGTGCTCACAGCCCTCCTGTGCATCCCTAGTGCCCTCCAGACAACGGCCATATTCCTTAGCCTTTCTTGATTTGGCTGATGTCTGCAGCCACCTCCCTCACTGCCCACTACCCCCTCCCCCCAATCTGGGCCCTGCTCCAGTATGAATGACTTGATTTTCAGTTTCCCAAACCCAGCCTCTCACATCCACCTATGACTCCGCATGAGCCTTCCCCAGAGGGCCTCCTCCCCACTTTCTCCTGGATAATTCCTCACCCTTCACAACTCCTCGTAGTCACCATCTCCTCCAGAAAGCCTTCCTGGACCAACTCCCACCCGCCCCACACACACCCATACCAGTCCCTTCCACGTCTGCCCAAGCTGTGTTGTGAGCATCTGGAACAAGTAACCGGGGCTGAAATTTTGAGCCCCTTCCCGCCAGGAGTTCAGCTTAGCACCAGGCAGTAGAAAAAAACAACAAAACCCACTGCAGACGAGTCAATTCCAACTCATAGCAACCCTATAGGACAGAGTAGAACTGCCCCATAGGGTCTTCTAGGCTGTAAATCTTTACAGACAGTGCCCTGGTGGTGCAGTGGCTAAGTGCTTGGTTGCTAACCAAAAGGTCGGCAATTTGAACCCACCAGCCACTCCGTGGGAGAAAGATGTGGCAGTCAGCTTCTGTAAAGAATACAGCCTTGGAGACCCTATGAGGCAGTTCTCTGTCCGATAGGGTGGCTATGAGTCAGAATGGGTTAATCTTTACTGAAGCAGACTGCCACATCTTTCTCCCATGGAGCAGCTGGTGGGTTCGAACTGCTGACCTTTCAGTTAGCAGCCAAGCGCTTAACCACTTCGCCACCAGGGCTCCCTTCAGGGAGTACAGTGAGGGGTTATAAACAGACTCGGGAGCCAGACTGCCTTGGTTTAAATCCAGGCCCTGCCACGTACCAGCTGACCAATTTGGGGCGATTCTTTTTTTTTTTTTAATTGTGCTTTAGGTGAAAGTTTATAGCTCAAGTTAGTTTCTCATACAAAAATTTATACACACATTGTTTGGTGACCCTAGTTGCTATCCCTATAACGTGACAGCACACTCCTCCTTTCCACCACAGATTTCCCGCATCCACTCAACCAGCTCCTGTCCCTCTCTGCCTTCTCATCTCGCCTCTGGACAGGAGTTGTCTGGGCAATTCATTATCCTCTCTGTGCCTCAGTTTCATTATCTAAAACATGGGGTAATCGTACCCACTTCCTGGGGTGATAGTAAGGATGAGATGGGCTAATATTTGTAGAGTGCTTCAAACAGTGGCCATCATACCATAAGCGTCCAATATATAAACATTCCAGAAGCTATACTACAATGTGCACAGACGAGAGGGACGAGGTTACCATATCAGTGATACTGTATTTGCTTTTCAAAAAAAAAAAAAAAAGACCCAAAGGGGAAAAAAAGCAAAATGTTAACGTTTGTCAACTCCGGGTAGTAGGTACCAACCTACCAACCAGTTGCCGTCAAGTCGATTCTGACTCGTGGAGACCCAATGTGTTACAGAGTAGAACTGCCCCGTAGGGTTTTCTGGTTGTAATCTTTACGGAAGCAGATTGTCAGGCCTTTCTTCCATGGCACCACTGGGTGGGTTCGTACCACTGATCTTTAAGTTAGCAGCTGAGCTCTTAACGGTTGCACCACCAGGGCTCCTAGGGTAGTAGGTACTGGGTGTTTTTATATTCCCCTCTGTGCTTTTCTGTTTATTTTGAATATTGCATAAAATTAAAAAAAAAAAAATGAGTAGGAATTGGCCGGGCCGGGAGGGAGGACAGAGGAGTAGAGGCAGAGGGCAAAGCTTGGAAGCTGAGAGAACCATCACACTAGCAAATGCTTCTGGAACTCTCCCTGTGTCCCAGGCACTGTGTGAGGTATCTCACCCAGGCACTTATGGTTTGGTGTGCCAATTGGGGTGCATGGGGTGAGGCAGGGGTCAGAGGTGAAAGACGACATGAGGAAAGTGGGCAAGCACAGACCACACAGGGCCTTAAAGGCCAAGACCACACAGGGCCTCAATGGCCAGGCTCAGGGGCTGGGACTCTGTCCTGAGGCACTGGGGAGCCACAGGAGAGCTATGAGCAGGGGAGGGGTGGGGGCAGCACTGGGTAGAGAGAGACCCTTCTGGACTCTCAGTTCCATTCCATTTGTCTGCCTGTCTATTATTATACCCGTACCAGCTGGTGTAACACTGTAGCTGTATAGTATGAATTGAAATCAGGAAGTGTGAGATGTCCTACTTTGTTCTTCTAAATTGCTTTGACTTTTCAGGGCCTGTTGCCAGTCCATATAAAATCGAGGATTAGTTTTTCCATTTAGTAAAGAAGGCTCTTGGAATTCTGATCAAGATTGTGTTGAATCCGTAGATCGCTCTGGGTAGTGCTGACATTTTAACAATATTGTCTTCCAATCTACAAGCACTGAGTGTCTTTCCATCTGTTCAGGTCTTCTTTACTTTCTTTCAGCAGTGCTTTGTCATTTTCACTGTCTAAATCCTTCACCTCCCTGGTTAGCTTTATTCCCAGGTATTTTATTCTCTTTGATGTTATTGTAGATGGAATTATTTTCTTAATTTCCTTTTCATATTTCTCCTTGCTGGTATATAGAAACCCCACTGATTTCTGTGTTTGACCTTGTACCTGCAACTTTGCTAAATTTCTCTATCAGCTCTAGAAGCTTTCTTGTGGACTCTTGGGGATTTTCTATATATAGGATCATGTCATCTATGAATAGAGATAATTTTACTTCTTCCTTTCTGATTTGGATACTTTTTATTCCCTTATTGCTCTGGCTGAGAAAGACCCTTCTGAGACCATGTGGGTATGGACTGAGAAGCAGACTGGAGGCCGGGGGCCAGAGAGGAGGCTGGGGCTAGGGCTCAGGGGAGAGAGGCCAGGGGAGGAGACTGGGGTAAGGGTCCAGGGGAGAGAGGCCTGAGGCAGGATGGAGAAGAGGGAAGGGGACAAAGAGTCAGGGCAGGAGGGACAGGGCATGGAGGCTGCTGACTCTGAGGGGTGACGAGGGAGTGGTGAGACAGCCCAGTGACTGGGCATAGGGCAGAGGACCAGGAGAAAAGCGAGTGTGGAGGAGGTGACCGCTCACCTCCAGGCCAGGAGCCTCCCCTGTCTCCACAGGTCTTCTCCCTGGTGGTCTTCTCCTCACTGCTGACTGACGGCTACCAGAACAAGACGGACTCCCCGCAGCTGCACTGCGTCCTCAACAGCAACGCCATGGCCTGCAGCTTCGCCGTGGGCGCCGGCCTGCTGGCCTTCCTCAGCTGCCTGGTCTTCCTTGTGCTAGACGCCCATGAGGGCCGCATTGCCGGCTCCCGCTTCAAGACGGCCTTCCAGCTCCTCGACTTCATTGTGGCGGGTGAGCCCCAGAGTGGGGGCGCTCCACTCAGAGCCCATGCCACCCCTCCGTCACCTTCCAGCCAGCCTCTGACAGTCCCCAGATGTGAGGCAGCTACACAGGTCCCAAACTTCATCCCTCTCTTCTCCCTGCACCTCCACACCCACTCTTCCTCCTGGGGATTCTTACTCACCCTTCAGACTCAATGTGTCACCTCTCCTGACCCCCAAGCTAATTCTAGAAGCCTCTCCTCCCCCTCCTTAGTCCCTGGGTGGCACAAATGGTTAAGAGCTCAAATACTAGCCAAACTGTTGGCAGTTCAAACCGATGCAGAGGCACCTCAGAAGACAGTCCTGACGTCCTGCTTCTGAAAGGTCACAGCCTTGAAAACCCTATGGAGCAGTTCTACTCTGACACACACAGGCTTGCCATGAGTTGCAGCTGGTTTGGTTTTTTGTTCTCCTCTGCCAGCTTTTCCCTCGCGTTTGCCTCCTTTCTCCATAGAACATTTCTTGAAAAGCCACTGGTATCGGGAAGTGAAGGAACCCTGGTGGTGCAAAGGTTAAGTGCTTGGCTGCAAACTGAAAGGTTGGCAGTTCAAACCCACCAGCCACTCCGAGGCAGAAAGACCTGGTGATCTGCTCCCATAAAGATTAAACCCAAAACCAAACCTCTTGCCATCAAGTCAATTCCAAACTGCCCCATAGGGTTTCCAGGGCTGTTTAAGGAAGTAGACTGCCACATCTTTCTCCCTCAGAGCGGCTGGTGGGTTCGAACTGCTGATCTTTCTGTTAGCAGCTGAGTGCTTAACCACTGTATCACCAGGGCTCCTTCCCATAAAAATTACAGCCTAGAAAACCCTATGGAGCACAATTCTACTCTGTCACATGGGGTCGCCATGAGTTGTAATCGACTCGACAGCACCCAGCAACAACAGTACTGGAGCCAGGCTCTGTCTAGGCTGCAGGCAGAGTAGGTGCGAGGCAGCAGCTGTGCGGTCAATTACATAACCTCCTCAGGCTTCAGTCTCCTTCTCTATGAAATGGGAATCAGAACAGGGTTTCTGAGGGATGGATGAGGTGAGGTGGGGGGAGCCCCGTGACTCCACATCTGACACATAGGAAATGGTGACCTCATCGCAGGCATCCTTTGTCTTGTTCACCCTCAGAAAAGCCCTGCAGGGTAGGGGCTTCCTCCCAGCTCTGATGGAAATGCGAAGAAGGGACAAGGCTTGCTTAAGGCCACAGAGTGAGCAGTGCCTGGGCTGAGATTTCCAACCCAGGTCTGTCTGGCTCCAGAGGCTCTGAACCTCACTTCCTGTTCATTGTTGTTTTTGGGTGCCGTGTCAATTTTTGACTCATAACAACCCCACTTGACAGATTAGAAAGAGCCCCTGGGTGGGCTCGAACTGCTGACTTCAGTTAGCAGCTCGGTGCTTAATCATTGCATCCACTAGGGCTCCTTTGGCTCCCAGTAAGCACTAAATAAGTGCACCTTCCTTTTCCTCAGGCTCCTTCCTCTCAGGCTGGCTGATCCCAACTCTGGCCCTCCTCCTTTTCCTCCTGTTCTTCCTCTTCCCCACTGGTCCAGTCCTAGTGTCTCAGAGCTGCAAGGGTCCTCAAAGGTCACGGAGTACAGAACTGTCCAGGAGAACCTTCAGGGATGATGGAATGTCCTCTCATCTGTGCTGTCCAATATGGCAGCCACTGGCCACACGAGGCTGTGAGCGCTTGACATGTGGCCAGTGCGACCGAGGAACTGAATTTTTTAATCATTTTATTTTAATTGATTTAAATTTAAACAGCCACAATTGTCAGTTGCTGTCGAGTCGACTCTGACTCATGGCGACCCCACGTACGTTGCCCAGTCCTGCGCCATCTTCACCATCACTGGTGTCCATTGTTGCAGTCACTGTGTATTTTGAGTGCCTTCCAACCCATGGGGCTCATCTCCAGCACTATCTCGGACAACGTTCTGTTGTGATCCATAGGGTCTTCCCTGCCTGATTTTTGGAAGCAGGTCTCCAGGCCTTTCTTCCTAGTCTGTCTGGAAGCTCCACTGAAACCTGTCCACCATGGGTGACCCTGCTGGTATCTGAAATACCAATGGCATAGCTTCCAGCATCACACAACATGCAAGCCACCACAGTCTGACAGACAGGGGGTGGCCCAGGTGGCAAGGAGTTGCTTTATGGGACAGAGCAGGTCCACTCCCGCCATTCACTTTAGGGGGGCTCAGCACAGGGACTAGCTGGCCAGAGGTCCCACAGCAAGACTCCCAGCCCCGCCTTCTCACCCCTAAGCGGCCCTTCCAGAACCTGCCCTCCCGTTGACCTCTTCTCTCTCCTTGCAACCCCGCACAGTCATCTGGGCCTGCGTCTGGTTCGTTGGCTTCTGCTTCCTGGCCAACCAGTGGCAGCATGCGCAGCCCCGGGAATTCCTGCTGGGGAGTAGCAGCGCCAAGGCTGCCATCACCTTCACATTCTTCTCCGTCCTCGTCTGGGTGAGGACCCTACCCAGGGCCCATCCCCGGGCCCACCTCTACAGGATGGGGGTGGGAGACCTAGAACACTCCCATCCTCACTTGGCTTCCCCAGGTGGGTCCCCCAGGCCTCCGCTAGCCCTTTCAGGCATATTAGAAAGGAGGCGGCCCTTCCTCTGGCATTAGGGGTTGAGGATTGGTGTCAGCTCCCATTCACCAGCCCCCCGTGCAGTAAGCAGGGGGCACAACTGTAATCTTTGCAGAAGCTGACTGCCACATCTTCCTCCCTTGGAGTGGCTGGTGGGTTTGGACCACCGACCTTTTGGTTAGCAGCCAAGAGCTTAACCACTGCACCACCTGGGCTCCTTTCATTGTACAGCAGAGGCAGCATCCCCCTCCCGGGCCATTGCCCAGCCCCGGCCCCTCTCCTCCCCTGCCCAGCCCACACCAGCCTCCTCCAGGCTACCCTTTTCTGCCCACAGATATTCCAGGCCTACCTGGCCTTCCAGGAACTCCAGGAGGATGCCCCTGTCCCCTACAAACGCTCCCTGGAAGAGGGGGCCGTGGTGCTGACCACCCTCTCCCCGCCCTCGGCTGCCAGCCCTGTCAGCTCCTCTGCCACCGGCCCCAACAGCCTGAACTATGCCAGCTCTGCCCTGTCCCCCTACCTGAGCACGCCGAAGGTCCCCCGCCTCGCCATGATACCCGACAACTGAGTACCTCAGTAAAGAGACACCCTCCCTCCAGAGGGTTCTGACACAGTCCTTTGTCCTGCTCATGTCTGTTCCTCTCTGGCCTCTTGGTGGCCGGGGGTAGAGAGAAATCCTATATGGTCACCTCAGAGCTCTCCACAGTGGGTCCCACTTTCATACATCTCCTGGACCCTTCATCCAGGGCCACCTTGATGGCACCAGATTAGAGGTGGTGACTGGAAGGAAACTTTTGCCCTCACAATAGCCAGAGGAGAGGGGTTCAAGGACCCCCACTGCACAGTAAACCGGTTGCTATCAAGTTGACTCCAACTCATAGTGACCCCATGTGTCTTAGGCTGGGTTCTCTAGAGAAGCAAAACCAGTAAAGCATATAAGTATCTACATAAAGAGATTTATATAAAGGAAATGGCTCACGTGGTTGTAGAGGCTGGAACATCCCAAATCCGTGGATGGGTCAGGCTGGAGGCTTCTCCTGATTTACGTAGCCACAGGGGCTGGTGAACCCAAGATCGGCAGGTCAGACAGCAGGGTTCTTGCTCACAGACTTGTGAAGACTGATGAATCCCAAGACTGGCAGCAAGACCACAGGTAACCTACTAGCTCAAGTCCCAAGAACTGGAGGTCATATGAACAGGAGCCAGCTGCAGGATTCAGAGCAAGCAAAAGCCCACAGGCCTTGCAGAAAGTCCACTTATATCTGATGTAGGCCACAGCCCCAATGAAACTCCTTTTCGACTGATTGGCTACTCACAGCAGATCCCATCATGGAGGTGATCACATTATATCAAATCTCATCATGGAAGTGATCACAACATCATCATACAATTGCCAAAGTACATCATTAACTGCCAAACCACTAAGAATCACGGCCCAGCAAAGCTGACGTACAATCTTAATGATTACACCATATGTGCAGGGTAGAACTGCTCCATAGAGCTTTCAAGGCTGTGATCTTTCAGAAGCAGACTGCCAGGCCTGTCTTCTGAGGTGTCTCTAAGTGGGTTAGAACTGCCAACCTTTTGGTTAGTAGTCAAGCTCTTAACTATCTGCACTACCCAGGGACTCCCATTGTATAGTAAAACCAAAAAACAACCCCGTGGCTGTTGAGTTGATTCCAACTCATAGCGACCCCCTAGGACAGAGTAGAACTGCCCTGTAGAGCTTCCAAGGCTGTAATCTTTATGGAAGCAGATTGCTACATCTTTCTCCCTCGGAATGGCTGGTGGGTTCCAACCGCTGCCCTTTGGGTTAGCAGCCGAGCACTTAACCACTGCGCCACCAGGACTCCTTCACTGTACAGTAGAGGAAGCTAAAGTTGAGAGAAAATGCTTCCACCTGGGGATGGAGAGTGAAGAAGAATCAGGGCCACCACTGGGACCCAGCCCTGTCGCCAAAGCCCAAGCTCTTCCACTCACTCCAGTGGCAAAGGACTCAACTCAAAGCCATGTTGGGTGAGGCGTTGTGCAGGAAACAGGGCTATGAGTCCACAGAAAGGTTCATGGAGAGCCTCGTCCTAGAATATTGGAAAGACTCTCTTGGGGAAAAGGAAATTATTTTATTCTAAAAGAACTCTGACAGTCACGGGGGACTCACGCAGGTAACCTCCAGGCAGGTCACCACAACGAGTGAAGCACGTACTCAGGCAGTGGTAGGGAGGGCGGAGAGCCCTGGTGGTGGAATGGTTAAGCACTCGGCTGCTAACTGAAAGGCTGGCAGTTCAAACCCACCAGCGGCTCTGCAGGAGAAAAGATCTGGCGATCTGCTCCTATAAAGATTACAGCCTAGAAAACCCTACGGGGCAGTTCTACTCTGTCACATGGACTCGCTGTGAGTCGTAATCTACTCAACAGCACCCAACAACAACCAGGAAAGTGAAGGAGTCCCTGGGTGGTGCAAACGCCCTGGGTGGTTAAGTGCTCAGTCACTAACCGAAAGGTTGGCAGTTTGAACCCACCCAGCAGCTCCACTGGAGAAAAGACCTGGCAATCTGCTCCTGTAAAGATTACAATCAAGAAAACCCTAGGGGGCAGTTCTACTCTGTCACATGGGTTCGCTATGGGTCAGAATCGACTTGACGGCACCCAACAAAGGGAGCGCGGCACACTGAATACAAGGCTGTCTCTAAGGGGGCAGCCCTCACTCAGCATCCCCCACTTGGCAATGCAGCACTGGGTGTCTACAGCAGCGCTGTCCAATTGCAATAGAACACTAGCTCAAAAAAACTCAAACCAGTTGCCGTTGAGTCGATTCCAACTCATAGTAACCCTGGAACTGCCCCATAGGGTTTCCAACTCTGGTGGAATAGAACTGCTGACCTTTTGGTTAGCAGCCAAGCTCTTAACCATTGCACCACCAATGCTCCAATATAACACTAGCCACCAAAACCAAAACAAAACAGAACGAGTTGCCATCGAGTCAGTTCTGACACGATGCCCCTATGTGTGCAGAGTAGAACTGCCCCGTAGGGTTTTCAATGACTTTTCTTCCAAGAAGCCTCTGTTGTTGTTGTTGTTAGGTGCTGTTGAGTTAGTTCCGACTCATAGAGACCCTATGTACAACTGAACGAAACACTGCCCAGTCCTGTGCCATCCTCACTATCATTGTTAGGCCTGAGCCCATTGTTGCAGCCACTGTGTCAATCCATCTCGTGGAGGGTCTTCCTCTTTTCCCTTGACCCTCTACTTCACCAAGCATGATGTCCTTCTCCAGGGACTGGTCCCTCCTGATAACACGTCTAAATTATGTAAGACTAAGTCTTGCCATCCTTGCTTCCAAGGAGCATTCTGACTGTACGAGCCTTTGGGTGGACTCAAACCACCAACCTTTCAGTTAGCAGTGGAGTTTGTTAACTGTTTACACCACCCAGGGACTCAAGAGGGACTTTGAAACTGTCTAGTAGCGGTCTGGAGCCTTGGTGGCTTAGTGGTTAAGAGCTGTCCTGCTAACCAATAGGTCAGCAGTTCAGATCCACCAGCTGCTCCTTGGAAACTCTATGCGGCAGTTCTACTCTGTCCTATAGGGTCATCAACTATGAGTTGGAATTGACTCGACGGCAACGAGTTTGGTTTTTTTTTTGGTTTTGTAGCGCTCTGGCAGGGATCACAATAGAGGATCCCGGACAGAGCTGGAGAAAAATGTAGAACAAAATTCTAACTCACAAAAAAAGACCAGACTTACTGGTCTGACAGAGACTGGAGAAACTCCGAGAGTATGCCCCCTGGACACCCTTTTAACTTAGCACCAAAGTCACTTCTGAGGTTCACCTGTCAGCCAAAGATTAGACAGGCCTATAGGGCCAACAATAACACACATGAGGGACGTGCTTCATAGTTCAATCACGTATACGAGACTAATGGGCACACGAGCCCAAAAGCAAAGACGAGAAGGCAGGAAGAGACAGGAAAACTGGATGAACAGAAACAGGGAACCGAGGGTAGAGAAGGAGAGCGTGTTGACACATGGTGGGGTTGGCAACCAATGTCACAAAATAATTTGTGTATTAACTGTTTAATGAGAAATTAATTTGCTCTGTAAACTTTCACCTAAATCCCCCCCCAAAAAAACTGTCTAGTAGCCAGATTAAAAAAAGTAAAACAAAACAAGTGAAATTAATTTCAGTAATTTTTTGCATTTAAACCAGTATGTCCAAAATAATACCATTTCCACACAGGACCAATATAAAAAATATGAACGCGATACCTTACATTCTTTTTTTTTTTAATTGTGCTTTAGGTGAAAGGTTACAGAGCAAATTGGTTTCTCACTCGAAAATTTATACGCAAATTTTTTTGTGACATTAGTTGCATTACATTCTTTCTTTCGTACTAAGTCTTCAAATTCCATTGCACATTTTATACCGAAGTAGAGTCTCGATTCAGACTTACCCCATTTCAAGGGCTTAATAGTCACGTGTAGCAGATGACTTTTCAATCCTTTAAAAAAAAAAGTGTTTAAAGTGTTGAAAAGCAAAGATGTCACCTTGAAGACTAAGGTGCACCTGACCTAACCATGGTATTTTCAGTCACATCACATGCATGCAAAAGCTGGACAATGAATAAGGAAGACAGAAGAACTGATGCCTTTGAATTGTGGTGTTGGCGAAGAATACTGAATATATCATGGACTCCTAAAAGAAGGAACAAATCTGTCTTAGAAGAAGTACAACTAGAATGCTCCTTAGAAGGAAGGATGGCGAGACTATGTCTTACATACTTCGGACATGTTATCAGGAGAGATCAATCCTTGGAGAAGGACGTCATGTTTGGTAAAGTAGAGCGTCAGAGGAAAAGAGGAAGACCCTCACTGAGATAGATTGACACAGTGGCTCCAACAATGGGCTCAAGCACAACAACAATTGTGAGGATGGCGCAGCACAGGGCAGTGTTTCGTTCTGTAGTACACAGGGTTGCTATGAGTCAGAACTGACTCAACGGCACCTAACAACAACAACAGCAGCAGATGGCTAGCATATTGGACAGTCCAGCACTAGAAACTTCTGGGTTTTTTCTAGAGCAACCGGACATCCATGTGTTTTTTTTTTTGTTTTGTTTTAACGAAGAGAAGTTTATTTCCTCACAGTCAAAGTAGGCTGAAAGTCCGAATTCAGGGTGTCAGCTCCAGGGCAAGGCTTTTTCTCTCAGTCAGCCTTCTCATCAATGTTCCCCTGGACTAGGAGCTTCTCGGCGCAAAGACCCCAGTCCAAAGGACGCGCTCTGCTCCTGGCACTGCTTTCTTG